CCTCCAGGTCACCGGCCCCTCAGGTGGCTGTTGACTCGGAGTCCAGGACCACTCCGTTAGGGGACAGACCACCTCCAGGTCACCGGCCCCTCAGGTGGCTGTTGACTCGGAGTCCAGGACCACTCCGTTAGGGGACAGACCACCTCCAGGTCACCGGCCCCTGAGGCGGCTGGTGACTCGGCGTCCAGAACCACTCTGCCGGGGGAGGGGGCAGGGGCGACCATCCACAGGTCACATACCCCTGGGGTCGCTGGAAACTCGGAGTCCAGGCCAGGAAAGCCCCTATGTTTGTTTTCGAAGCGGCTCATTTTCCCTCTTGCCACACGCGTGGACCCGGGAATGGGTAATACAAACTGCTAAGCTTAGGGAAGCTACATGGGCTCGTGGCTATTCCACAAAATTAGGCACGTGATCACTGAGGGTAAAGAAGTCAAAGCACACTGCTCATTCTAGCTGGTCATGTGTTATTTTAGCATGCGCTCAGGAATATGTTGTGTCGGCCATCCAATGCCATGCTTAATTCAAACTTGAGCATAATGCAGTTGCTAACACACCTCCGGGTTGTTGCTCGGTTGCTTCGCCTAACGGGCTCCTCGGGTCTTGTGACGCTGCTGGCCTCTATAAATCATAGCTAACTTCTTGGTCGATACAGACAACATGGTCATGCTAACAAAGCACCATCATGCATCATAAAACATGTATGACCGTAGGGGCCTCAATATTGTATCCCGCCGTGTCACGAACTGTGCCACGTCCTTTGCGACGCTATGCCAGGCTGACATCAGCACGATGTTTGGCTGTCCGCCAGGGCACCGCTCAAAATGTTGCATCAATGTTGCGTACACTTGGTCACTGTATGTGTCAAAGCATCCTATGCGTGCACAACACACCGCGGTTTGCTGTATTTTTAGTTCTTTTTCTTTCAGTTGCTTATTACTGTAACAATGTGAACAGCAATCAAATATGATTATGTTTTAACTAAGAATGTCATATATGTCACATCATAACACAAAATATGTTGTAGCACTTCTTTACAAATGTAACACACAAACGCACTACCCAAGTATTCCGCAGCCCAGGATAAACTCGACGCCTGTTGTCTGTACGTCCGAAAATCCTTCGACGTTGCAGAGGGTTTCTCTTTATATTTGGTCCCTACGATATCTGTCTTTTGTCTTTAATTATCAAAGAAATCTGTGCATTTTGACATCTTAACTTGGCATTGCAAGGAAACATGCTAAACAAATGTTGCAATGTGAGTAGAATGTTCGTTAACAAAGGTTCACCATGCCGTCAAAGTTAACTTTTCTGCTCATTCCCTGTATCCTTCCTTTTAGTTTGGTACCAAAGTGGAATAAATAAAGCGCTTCGTGGTCACATTTCATGACCACCTATTCTTGCATCCTGCAGAGCGCCATCGCAAAAGCGTTATCGCATCACAATCACAGAACACTGAACACCTTAGTGGATAGTTACTTGAAATAAAAATATGTGCCGACCCACAGCTATCGATATTTGCTCGCATTCCGGTCAATGAATAAGCAAAATATGGAATTATATCCATTGTAGCGATGTTCACAACATACAGCTGACTCGATAACGACATCATGACAGCGTGGCACGCAAAAGCGTTGCATATGCATAATATTTCGTGATCGACTAGCTGATTATAACTAGTAGCTGTTATAATGATGATTGACAATGGAAATGTTCAGGTTCATGAGCATTAGTACAATCATATATATATATATATATATATATATATATATATATATATATATATATATATATATATATATATATATATATATATATATATATATATCATAGTATTAGTACACAAATTTATCACTTTCTCGGATAGTGATATAGATTTGATAGCGACGCGTCGCACGACGGCGCTGATTATGCATTACAACAGAACTGGCCAAACAGCTGGCTGATAAAAACATCCGTATAACAGACATTTTGTCACCTTTCAGCCTAGGCGCATACCAAAGCACGTGCTCACCGAATTCTGGCTCAAGGCGTGCGTTGGTTTCTGCGTCTGTTCGGTTCGTGACTGCGGCCATGAATGACCTTCAGACGCCAAGGTTATACCTTCCGGAATGCCTGGTTCAACCGCCTCGACCCGGTCACTACGGCTGTAACATTCCCTTGACCGACCACTTGTTGCGGTGTCTCTGTACTGGAACTGCCAAACGCCCTGTTCTTTAATAACGTCTCGTTGGAGAGGCGCACGTGCGTCCCACGCTGTCATGATGCCATTATCGAGTTACCTGTATGTTGTCAGCATCGTTACGATGAACATTGATCCACATTTTGTTCATTCATAGACCGGGTGCGAACAAACACCGACAGCGGTCGGCATATCTTTTTCGAGTTGGCCAAAATTCGTTTTTCAGTCAGGACCATGACTTAAAAGGGTGGAGTGCCTTTTGACATTGATAATGATCACACAAACACATGCACAGATAGGTTGCAAAAGCTGACTAACTCGGCTGAAAAACATTCAAGTAAATTTTGAAATATGCATGATCAAAGCGGCGCCTTGCCGCCTCCGTGGTCCGGGGGAAAGACGCTGAACTCATAATCCAGCGGCACTGGGTACGGGTCCCAGAGCGGGCGTACTGTTTAGCCCGACTGAAATGGAAAGGTGAGCTAGCAACCGGCCAACGAGGGTCAACCCTGGCCCGGGGCTGCCGTGTCACAGCATTGTGCGGCAGGTAAAACCCTCCGCAGCCCTGTTTGGCGCCGGGGCGGAGGCGAAAATATCCGTTGACCTGGACGGTACGACTTAGGTGGCGGGTTCAGGATACACGCAAAAAGCCATGCTTAGCTGATACTAGGGACCCAGAGTCACCCATGCAATTCGTTCGGAATAAGTTTATAAAAAATAAAAAAGTGACCTGCTGTCAGACAGGTATGAGTGGTGCTTGCAGCACGTCTGTTCTTCAGAACTGGTTTTCATTGGTGAAGCATAGCGCTATGTCAGTAGCGCTGAATTATTAAAACATTTTACCCAAGCAAGGATCTTGTCCAACCTTTGTGTGCCGCACATTTCCAGAGTAATGGGCAAAGGCTTGAGCTGGCTCTGAAGCGTTTATTTAATGGAGCCTTTGCATGAGGCTATTACTACTAAAATCCGGTCTGGCTTGGCGTGCAGTGGAATATATAACCATGCATAACCTATGTGAAGGAATGCTATTGTGTACCTTTGCGCAATCTGTGCATAAAGCGCCTGTCCTCGGCCCACGTACACGGGGTTTTTCGGTTACGAAGCATTGCTTTGTATTGTTTGTCTGCGCGAGCTGTAATGGTCATTGGTCAATGTCATGTACATAATGGTCAATGCGTTCGAGCTGGATGACTGACGAGTTAGTTCGCACTATATGAACTTTTGTATATATATATATATATATATATATATATATATATATATATACATCATCCAACCTCGACAGGCGAGGTGCGATGGAGGCACCAACACCTTGGGACCCGATATGTCAGATCCAAATATATGGAGAGGCAAAAACACAGCACTTTAATGCGACCAATCTTACGGCACGGCAAAACAGCCTGATCAATTAGCTAAAATAATTTATACGCGGCTGTCGGAAATAGCCTCACGAATTGTTGTTGAACACCCGCCCGCAAAAAATGGGGAAGGTATATCGGGAAGAGTATTTCAATGTTACCTTGACATTTATGACGTCATAGTAACGTCATTTAAATGCTGCGCTTCCAAAAGTCATGCGGCGATAGAGACCAAAAAATGTAATTGTCGAGACGCTCATATCTGGCGTTCATGAGCGCGATTGCCAGATATGACGGCCATCAATTGGCTGTCAATGTTGTGCAAAGCTGGTAACGTAATCAGATCATGGCGCGTTGGGAAGCATATTTACTAAATAGCTTGTGCTATCTATAGCAGTCTTTTCCATTCAAATGTATGCCAATGCCACATGCGAGCTTGTTTCATCACATTTGACGCCTGCTTCAATATCTTTAAATGTGAAGCATTGTCTTTGAAGGTGCTTACCTGTATTCGCATGTGTGGTTATAACGTTTGTCTTAAATTATTCGATCGCAAGTCTTATTTCCGTAATAGCTAGGAATAATTGTGATTTCTTGTGTTATGGAGCACATAGCGTCATTCATTTGGGAATCTCGTCTAGCTTGCGCGGCATTGGCTGATAGCCAATTGACGGTCGCTATGTCTGGAAATCGTGCTCACGAGCTTCAGATATGAATGACTTGACAATTGTGCTTTTATTGGCCTTGAAGGCCGCATGACCAGTGGAAAAGTAGGATTTCAATGATGTTATTATGGCACCATGGATGCCTGGGTAGCTTTGAAATAGTCTGCACACCTTTCTGAGCGGATACCTCAGAAACTGGATGGTTTAGGTCACAGGAAGGTCAGGACTGCAAACTGCATGGAATGATCTTCAAGATGGCTATGTGGCATGGTTACAGATGTGGGGCACAGCCCTCAGGAATATATCCACTCAGAATCTTCTCAATAGTTACGTTTAAATATTGTGTGCTCTACTCAGCTCGGTCTTGCGGAATGTCATGTTGACAGCCTAATTAATCAGATCAAAAGCTCTCCCTCTAATGTCCCAGCCTACACCAAAACCAACGTGTCTTAAACGTTCGACAATGGGCCTTTTTATTAAATGTATATTGTTTCGTGACTTGGACAAGCATGAGATGTATTTCGAAGCGCTAATCAAAGGTAAAATACGTGAAAAGCTCCTCCATGTCATGGGCATCTAGGAAGATATGAGTATCAGCAACAGTGGTTTTGTATATGGCACTTCCACTCATCCCACTGCATGACAAAAACAAACTCTGTGGCCCACTTCCCGGCCGAGGCTCAAATTTAGAGGATCAGAACAGCTCCACAAGCATTCGTTGCCTTATGATCACCAGTGTCGTGTCTTTTTAAGCGTCAGCCATTCAACTCGGTCAGCGCAAGCTGCAACAGATATGGCCGAAAACAGAAGCAATGCGTCGCATCCGAAAGATCACTGTCGTTTCGAGCCGGAACAGGTGCGTCCCAGTATTCCTCATCATAAGAATTCCGTCATCTTCTTTCAGGTTCTGGCCATTGTATCTGTCCTCTTCATTGTGGTCTCCACCACGTCCCTGGTGCTCAACACTTTGCCCAGTCTCCAGGACGATGGAGGTGATAACAAATATCTCTCCCAAGTGGAGACAGTCTGCATCACTTGGTTCACCCTGGAGTACCTCTTGCGTTTCGCCGCTTCTCCCAACAAGTGGCAGTTCTTCAAGGGTGCCATGAATATCATCGACTTGTTGGCGATCATGCCTTATTACGTGTCTCTCTTTCCGCTGGACTCCAGCAAAAAGGAGAATCAATTTGACGACGTTCGTCGCGTCATAGCCATATTCCGAATCATGCGAATTTTGCGGATCCTCAAGTTGGCGCGCCACTCAACTGGCTTGCAGAGTCTGGGCTTCACACTGAAGAATTCGTACAAGGAGCTCGGCTTGCTCCTGATGTTTCTGGCCATCACTGTGCTCATCTTCTCGAGCCTCGCTTACTTTGCCGAGAAAGATTGCAACAAAAAAGACTACGGGAGCATTCCGGAGACATTCTGGTGGGCCCTGATCACCATGACCACGGTCGGGTACGGTGACGCCTTTCCCCGAACCCCACTAGGCAAGGGGGTGGGAGCGGTTTGCGCCATATGTGGTGTGCTGGTCATTGCCCTGCCCATCCCCATCATCGTCAACAACTTCGCCGAGTTCTACAAGAGCCAGATGATGCGCGAAAAGGCGATGAAGCGGCGCGAGGCGCTGGAGAAGGCGCGTCGAGACGGCAGCGTCGCCAGCTTCCACGACGTCAACCTGCGGGACGCCTTCGCCAAGTCGGTCGACATCGTGGACGTCATGGTTGAGCCAGGTGAGAAGCGCGGTGATCGTGGTCCACGTGATCGCGGTCAGGGAAAGATCGGCTTGGCCGAGACGCATGCGTCAGATTGGGTTTATGTGCTAAATAAGGCTGGGTGTCGGAATAAAATGATATCGTGTTGTGCAGGTTATATAAACATCGACTTGAGTGCTGCCAGTTTGAAGGGGGCTCACACTTAAGTTGCTAGTTTTCTTGTCACGCTATCTATGTCACGCTTCATAGTTGTTTCATAAGTTTTGCCGGTGACGCACCAAAATGCGTAAGTTGTTAGGTGTGTTTGCGAGGAACATCATGCATACAGAAAAGGCAGTAGTAATGGCCTTATTCCTCGAAAAAAATCAGGAGGAATAATGCTATTGCTGCTGTGTTATCGGTATGCACCAAACTGATCAAACTCGCAATGGTGATTTGAACATTGGGGACAATTAAACTGAAATTGTGTGGGAATCATGCATATCAGCACATTCAACAGAAACCACGTTAAAAGGATTAAGAAACGTGTGCACAAAAGTACAATACATTGTTGTGAGCACTTAGCCTGCGAAAGACGTCGGCGATAGTCAATAGTATTAACCCTTCCCTTTTCGAATAGACGATATCGTTATTCACGTCCCTGAGAGCGCAGGTCATAATGAGCCCACTTTACTCCACTCTCACTTCTAAACGACCTGAGAAGAAGACGATGGGTTACCATGCATTGATGCGGACATTGATGAGCAGCTGCGAGGTATACGTCGGCAGATATTGGTGAAGTATCAACAGAGGCTTCCGCGTGCATAGCGCATGAACTGACAGCAACCATTCGCTGTCAGTTCGCGTGCTCAGCTGATTTGAGGCGCCTAGTTGCGACCGCTACCGGCCGCGGGGTTCCGGCCCCGGCCATTGTGTGACGTCACGGTCCGGTGGATCGACAGAAGATCGCCCCTTCCGCGGGCGAAATCAATGTCGTCCGCCCATCCCGGGAGAGCCAGCGACGGCTGACAATGGCAGTGGCCGGACCGCTGCCGGCTTTTGGCGGCCTGCTCACCTGCTCACCTTTAACCTGCTCACCCCGACCAGGTTAAACGAGCGGACGAGGGAGGTGCTCCCCCTCGACCGGATCGACCAGGTCTAACGAGCGGGCTGGAGAATAGGTGTCATCCTCTTCCCCGCGGGCCCCCGCCTGCCACTGAAGCAATGGGGTGAGGGGGGGGGAGGGGGAGGTAGAGGAGAGGCAACACCAGTCAGCGAGCAGTGAGGCCATCCAATCATTGTAAGCTGTCGGCTTTGACATGCGCACCAGAGGTAGTGAGAGAATTTTGCGTTCTTCTCCTGCTGTTTTATTTCGAGAATAATGTCGAAACTAAAGGTGTCAGCAAACGGTTGTTGGCGTATCTCCCAAAAATAGAATGAGACGTCGAGTAAAGCAAAAGCCAACCACATAGGCAGGTCACCTGTTAAGTCCTAGGCTGGCAGAGTCATGATGTCCGTTGACCGTGCTCGCCGACCGGGCTCATCTGAACGGACGCTCGCGGCGCGGCAGAGCTGCCGGCGAATGAAGGCATGCGCTCGCATAGCCATGTCTAAATATGCTGCTTTTCATAGAAAACGGTTTGATCGGTTTGTTTCCGAAGAGGCACCTGATTCGTTTCAGTCCGCCCCCCCCCCCCCCCCCATCACGCCACGAAATTACCCATCCGCCGGGAGGAGGCACCGCCGACCGCGGAACCACATGACGGGCTGGAGACAAGGCCAGGGCCGGACACATTCGCAAGCGTCGGACCTCGGACGTGCGCGGCCGCCTGAAAAACGTCACCTTTTATCAGAGAGGGCTGTGTCAGAGAAGGCGTCATCGGTTTGCTCAGCTTGCCTGTCATTTAATTTTTTCATCGGGGCACAATATGACCTCGTTTGACCCCAAATCTGAGCCGTTTTGTGTTCTGCGCAAGCTTTACGCGTTGTCCTCAAAGATGCTGGTCGTGGCTCCCGCGTAAAGAGGACGATTTCTTTTATGTAAAAATTTTCTCTTTTGATCGCCGACCAACCGGGAATTTGCTTTTTATCTTGTTGTACCATGTACTTGACCTGCGGCTGCTGTGACCCACAACATCCATGCACTATTGTCTGAGAACGTTGTGGCTCTAAGGTCACTGTATGTATAGATATCAGGGGTAACTTTTGTCCCCTTGCTGATCATGTTATCCATGTCATTTCCGGGCCCCGCGAAAATGATGCCGAAAACAGCCGTGTCGAGTAAAACATTTAGGAGTTTTGGCATGTTTTATATATTTGTTTTGCATTTTCCTCTTTTTCAGCACATTTCTCATTGCGTAGCGACAATTATGAACTGTTTTTAACAAAATTTTATCCTGCTGCGTCCACCTGGTGCCTTCCAATATGATAATACTAATTGACAGCGGCATTCTGAAATATAGAGGTACTTGCCGTGATAGCATTACGACGATTTCAGCGCAACAAAATATTCCAAAAGTGGCAATATTTATGTTTTTTGCCCCTTAGGACTGACTGAACAATTTTTAGAGTCCGAACCTTATTTCGTCGTGGTAACTCAAAATGGAAAACTTTTTACTAGTCTTAGTCCCTTTAAAAAAGACACTTTCAGCCAAGCGATCGCTAGATGTGGGGATGGATGACCTTGTTGTTCTCTCACCAGCTTTTCTTTGTTTTTGCTTCGTTGGAGCCATAACAAATCCATTCATATACATCTGACCATCTGTATGGCGGAAGTGTGCCATGCCGCAAAAGGTCACCTGCTGACGTCACCGCCGACGATGCTGACGTCACGGTGGCGATACCCACACAGCGTCCATCGATTGCTCCGAGTGGGCTCCCGTCCGTTCTCACTGGAGAGGTGAGACCGGCAAGCACAGCGGAGTCGTTCTGGGCAGGTGTTTGTCCCAGTGGCGGTGCTCCTCTCCGCACCCCCGTCAGAAAGGGTCTTTGTGGTCACGTGACCCACGCGCACCAGTCGGAGTCGGCACATCTCCCACCGGAGCCTTGGTCCCAGCCCGCTAGGCTGTCATGTCTTTTTAGCCACAGAGGGGAAGATCGCGGACATGATCGATTATCCGTTGGATATATGCCACGGAGAGCCCGTCAGAGCCAGCCACAGAGGGAAGATCGTTGACATGATCGACTATCCGTTGAATAAACACCACAGAGAGCCCGTCAGAGCCACTTAACGGCAAGACCAGAGCCTTGTCCGTGGCCTACTGAGGATTGTCGGAAGCGTAGCCTGGCAGGACAGGCAGACAGACCGTGCTGGTGATGACGTTGCTAGCAGCCTGAGGCGAGCCACTAGTGAGCATCGCCGGAGTCTGAGTAGTTGCGTAGGCAACTTGAGAGCCACAGACGGATACATTTTGTGACAAATTTGTTGCAAACTCGATTGTTCGATGAACTGTGCAAAGTCGACTGATAAACAATTTTAGTGTCTTCTTTTTATGCCACAAAGCCGCAAGCGAAAAGGCAATGGCTCTGTTTGCTGCATCTCCGCTGAGTGTATCTGTGTCGTGCTGAAATTGAGCTTCTCCATCGTCCGTATGACGTCTGGTAGCCTCGGATCGCAAGAGAATAAGCCTTTTAGAGCGCTTATCTTGGCTGGTGCAAGACATTTAGTATTAATTTCCTTTGAATGAGATCTTAATGAGACGTGAACCTGATGGTGGTGTTATAAAGCATTTGAGCATCTCTGAACCGTCAGTGTAAGACGGTTTCTCGTCGGGAATGTGGACGTGGCGAACGCTGAACTTTACAAGGGTTGTGGTGTAATCTTCTTCTGGAAGGCAACATGAATAGAGCATTTCTTCTTTGAATGTCTTACAAAAAATTTCGGCCACTTCCAGAAGAGTTTGGTCTTTAATAATCGACATCCTCCGAGTTTGTAGGCTGTGTCCTGCTCCCGTGGTCTTCTGTCCTCTCACTCCTATGTGTTTTACTGTCGGGGAAAGTAAGAGTGTTGCTGTCTGCCGGACGTGGCTGTCTGCCGCGCAGGCCGCCGCTGGTCCCGGTCGGCCGGTGGCACAGGTCAAGGCCACCCGAGCCACATCCGCCGCCTGTCGGTCGTTGGGGCTTTACGACGCACTCGGATGCTGAGGCGCATCGCCTGCCTCTCACCCCAGCGGGACAGTGAGCAACGCGGGCAATAGAGGCGTGCATCTGGTTTCCCAGACGTACAACAACACTATTGGTACCTCCCCACTCCCCCCCCCCCCCCCCCCACCCACACTCAGTCCCGTCACGCTGCACTTACGTGCGATGAAGTATAAAGATAATGCAGTTTTTGTATAGCATCTAATGGTGGCGTGTTGGACGAGTCAGATGACTGTAGCCCCGCGAAACCGTTTTAAAAAAAAAACATCCTATGAACAACCAACATCGTTGAAAAACATACTCCTGCAGAAGCGAGCTGTTTTCCCCCTTCCATTTGAAAGCTCTGAGCTTACTAGCCCGTGAACAACTTACCTGGAACGATGCTTCCAAGGTAGTTTGAACGCAATAAGAGAGAGAGAGAGAGAGAGAGAGAGAGAGAGAGAGAGAGAGAGCGAGAAGAGAGAGAGAGAGAGAGAGAGAGAGAGAGAGAGAGAGAGAGAGAGAGAGAGAGAGAGAGAGAGAGAGAGGAAGAGAGAGAGAGAGAGAGAGAGAGGAGAGAGAGAGAGATAGAGAGAGAGAGAGAGAGAGAGAGAGAGAGAAGAGAGAGAGAGAGAGAGAGAGAGAGAGAGATAGAGAGAGGAGAGAGAGAGAGAGAGAGAGAGAGAGATAGAGAGAGAGAAGGAGAGAGAGAGAGAGAGAAGAGAGAGAGAGAGAGATAGAGAGAGAGAAGAGAGAGAGAGAGAGAGAGAGAGAGAGAGAGAGCGAAGAGAGAGAGAAGAGAGAGAGAGAGAGAGAGAAGATAGGAGAGAGAGAGAGAGAGAGAGAGAGAGAGAGAGAGATGCTGAGAGAGAGAGAGAGAGAGAGAGAAGAGAAGAGAGAAGAGAGAGAGAATAGAGAGAGAGAGAGGAGAGAGAGAGAGAGAGATGAGGAGGAGAGAGAGAGAGAGAGAGAAAGAGAGATAGAGAGAGAGAGAGATAGAGAGAGAGGAGAGAGAGAGAGAGAGAGAGAGAGAGGAGAGAGAGAGAGAGAGAGAGAGAGAGAGAGAGAGAGGAGAGAGAAGAAGAGAAGATAGAAGAGAGAGAGAGAGAGAGAGAGAGAGAGAGAGAGAGAGAGAGAGAGAGAGAGAGAGAGGAGATATAGAGAGAGATAAGAAGAGAGGAGAGAGGAGAGAGAGGAGACGAGGAGACGAGGACAGGAGGGAGAGAGAGCAGGAGGAGGAGAGAGAGAGAGAGAGTCTTTCCTCTCGCAAATATCTTTTACATAATATGATGACGACTAAGGTCAGGACTAACTAAGGCTAAGACAGTCATCATTGCATTCAGTCCAAAAAGGGAAAGCTGGTGGCAATACATCCTAAGAGCTTTGTAGCCGCCAATCTCTATGACGCGCATTAGTGATATCGCTCAAACAAAACTCAGACAAATATGGCGCATACATGGGTACCACGTATCCTCTGTTGCGGGCGATCGGCTGACTCGGCCAGCACTCAGCGCCCGGGGTAAGCCCAGCCCCCTCGTGAGTTACGTGGCATCGACACGTCTGGCCAGTGTCCCTTGGGCCCCGCTGGACGGCCGACACCGTGTCCCAGCGGATGCCGCCACGTCCGGCCGACATTAACGGCCCTTTGCGTGGCACAGAACATTCGGCTACATTGCGTGGTACCCATGTATGCGCCATATTTGTCTGAGTTTTGTTACAGCGATATCACTAATTCGTGCACTTAATTCCGAACATCACTAGAAACGGGAACGGACAGAGCCACTGAAGTGTGCCGCAGGTGACATGGCTGATGACCATGGTTTACTGCTGGTGGGGAGTGGTCACAGTTGGAGTTATGAAATAAATGTGCTTTAAGGATCGTGCTACTTGCAAATAGGCTGGGATAAGCAATATGCTTAACAGCTGTGTTGATCTGTTCACTTTAGTTCTGTGGAGGAATTCGCCCTCTGTTCAAGGCATTGAACCTATCAAAAAGGCATTTGTGAGCCAGGGGCGGATCCAGAAGGGACGGGCACGGGGTCATGACTCCCCCCCCCCCTTGGACCCCGAACGGCTCCATGGGCTCCGAGGGGTCTCATAGCCGGTCGAACAGGCGCAGTGTTTGTTTTTTTTTTCTACACAGAGCGCAACAAAATTGGACGTCTTTGGGCTTCCAGGCGACCGATAACAGTCGCAAGCGAGAGTGAAGAGCTCGCGAGTAGACAAACATTATTCTTCACTGATTGAGAGTGTGGTGACTGGTACGTCTTAAGACTGCTTACGCTGTCCAGAGGTGCTGCGCTGTTTCCGGGGCTCTATATATCCACTTGTGCGGTCAACCTGATTGTTAAGGAGCCTACTTCGTTGCCCTTTGATTTATTTGCATTTGCTCGGAGGGCCCTGCGATGCTGCTGGGGCCATTCTTGCCAGCGTGCCGGGGCACTCTGCCAATGGGCGGCCTTCCACGGATTCTTTCCATTGGTCCGAAACGCTCTATACGCTAGGGCCGGGAGGGGGGGGCATGTGTTGACATCCGGGGTATTCTCGGTTGCTCAGGGGCCCTTCACGTTGGTCGCGCTTAACCTGCCAGCACACTCACGTTATGCTCATGGGTCCTGGGCTGACCCCGGGCACCAAATCTGGGCGGCCGTTTAGCATGTCATGTTCGTTAATATGCGGTTCAGCCATCGTAGGCTTACCAGCATGCTAACCATAGTTGTATAAACTGCTTTGCTGGACGACCTAGAAATGACTTCCAGTCAGAAAAGCAATTATTTCAGAACGACGTACTTCGAGAGGCACTGCGTTTATCTGATAAGATTAAGAGAACAGAACTCGTAACAAACGCTGACATGATGATGATGATGCGGGTGCTGCGGAAACTCTATCTTTCCGCCCCGGAATGTCATTAAATTAAGCTTAAGACCATATGCTGTTCGAGAAAACCTAGTGGGGTAGTCCACGTGAATGTCGAAGCAGTACGTTCCACACAGCTATATCTCCAATGCATAAAAAAGTTGTCATGCACAGTCGAAAATGCCAGGAGTTTTGCTTTGGATATTGCAATGCACATGTTTGGCTGAAAGCTGCGGTTCTCAACTTTTGTGTGAGTCGGCTTTAAATTGGACTCAATTAAGCTGTGAAAAAATTTGCTCGAGAATGCTTGAGGTTGAAATCTGATAGCCTATTAACACAATTTTGACGAAAGAAATCTGTCTCAAAAATGTGTGTCTGAAGTTAGTTGAACTAGATGTTTATGTACCTGAAAACTGAAAACACTAATGACGCACTAAATATGGCATCAAATGGGATAGCTTGAACTGTTCATCTGTCTAAATGAAACGGATATTTTCTCCAATTTTATTTTGTTTTGATATTGCGACTATGGTGACCCCGAAGGCATGATATTTTTGGATGGGTGACAGAAGAAGGATGCTATGTAGGTCTTGATAGTGTGAGAAGGAAATTCGTGGTTCGGTTCTTAGAAAAGCACAGCAAAGCGGTGTTCTCCTAGTGCCCAGGATGGACAGACCTAATTGAACTTTGATATTTATCGGTTTGTGCACGGACGTCATAAAATCGCCTCTTTTAGGAGTTCATGGGCGTTATGCCGAGTTACTGACATGCAAAATACCAGGAGGCACTGGTTAGACGACCGTGTAGACTAATGGTTATAACTATTGGTCACAATAAAAGGACTCAGTGTTTCAATGCATGCTTATGATCACATGCCCTCATACGCACGGCTTGTGCTGATTGTAAACACGGCTCGCAACGTCGAGTGCTGCCAATATATCAATTTTTGCTGCACAACCCTGTTCTGTCAGTATCTCCTGGTATATCAAAGATCGATAACTTAGGACAAGGCCTGTAAATTCATAGTGCCGAAAACCAGAAGCTGTAGACCTGTCGTGCTTACATCGTGCAAAACCGTGTCCTTGTACCAGACCTGAGAGGTTCATAACAGTCAACGCTATCTTGCTATAAAGGCCGGTCCCAGAGCAAAATTCCGATACCCCGTTTGAGACTCAGAGCATTAGCCAGATATGGGCTACGGTTCTGGATGTCTAAGTTTTGTCAGGATGTGTCAAACCGATGGCAATAAGAGGCACAAACTTTCAGCGTTTTGGCTGGAACGGTTCTTTGATGATGGAAAAATCAGAGTGGGACCAAACCGATCCTCGGTATGGAAAGCCTGCAGCTCTGTGAAATATGGATTATGGATAGTCGATAGCTTACCAAACTTTTCAGGAGCATGCTTGAAAAATAAATCGAAATGTAAGATATGTATTATTTCGACGCTGAACTTCGCGAAAAGCACAACATAACGTTTCTTTTTCCCAAGTATCACCAATGAATTCTGCATTGCCCTGGCATAACCGCATCTTCTGGCCAATCGACCCTGACGTGTATTACAACATGAGACGCGCTGGTACGTGCTGTATGAGCACCTTTGGGGTGCTACGTTGGTGTATGGGTGCATTGCAGACAGAAACTTATCTGAGCAAGCACATCTACCTATAACGTTTATTAGTGTGCCCTTTTTGCGTAAGACCAAAGCGGAGAGCACGATGAATACCTGGATGTGATGTATTGCATTGGCGTATGCACGCTACCAGTCTGCCACGTGTCCCACAGGAGACAAGCCTTCTGATGGTGGCGCAGCAGACCTGAACAAAGTGGACGCCAAAAACGCCCAGCCGCCAGAGCCTGGACCCAACCAGCTGCAGACACGGTAGGCTGCCGCGCGCTGGCAACCTGCCATAAAGCTTCTCATTGGTGCTTGGGCTGCGCTCGGAATGCGCATCAAGCGGAGCTCGCGGCGCGCGACCGGATGCCGGCCGGTGCGATTCCGGCGCGGCAGCTGATTGTGCCTCCGTCGTCAGTGTCAAACAGGACACCGCAGAGCGGCGCTGGTCATGCTGTGCCGTCGCTGCCGACGCGCCGACGCGCCGATGCTCTCTGTGCCCCGGCCGCTGAGGCGCTTCTGCGCCGGCCGCCCTGACCGAGGCGCGCGCACTGTGGCGCGACGTCTGACTGGAACCCGGCTCGCCGCAGGGCGGACAGCCCCGGCACGCCGGCGGCCGGGTCGCCGGCGTCGGTCAAGCGAGGTCACGGCACGCCAGAGCCCCGGCTGCAGGGCATGTCGTACGCGCTCAACTCCATCTCGCCGGCGGTGAGTGGACCCCCCGCCTGCGACCGCGGACCGGGCTCGAGCCTAGATGGAGGGCAGATGTTTCGCAGAGTAAATTCGCAGCGGAATGTCTGTTCTTAGCCATTGGCGCAGAAAACTCTGGGAGGCGTCGTCAGCCCTGGGGCTGTACATGGGATACGCTCAGTGGCCCGGTGTGGCGCTGCGTGGCCTGCACCGGCTGTGGGCTTCGATCTCATCCTGCGAATAACTGTGAACTGTTGCGTGCCTTAAAGAAAACGTAAGGGCTTTCTAGCAGCCATGTTCTCGTAGCCATAGTGCGTATAGCTTGAGAGGTTTTGATGTTAATGGCCGTGAGGGTTAGGAGAAACGCAGTTGCCGTAAATTAATCAAAATATGGCGTCGAAAGGAGCAACACAGAGAGCAACGGAATAGGTTGAAACAACACATGTGAACAGATTAGGGGTGGGAAGAAGAAGAAGAGATAGAGGGCTGAGGTTCAGGGGTGGACGAGGTGTGCAAAAGAAACTAGGTTTTCTCGTAATATTTCACTTAATTTCTTCCTTATCTGCGGGTAACCCGGGAACGCATGACCAAGAACATGATCTGTCTGTAGACCGCGAGCCATGATTACAAACACAGACGTGCACGAGCGCGCATGAAGTTCTGTGACACAAGTATCTGCGCTTTTGGAATCAAACGATAAGAAGCTGGGTTATCAGCCCCAAGAAAGCAGGTAGCAATCTCGTGATCATGAATCAGGCTTCCGGGTCCCACAAAATGATAAAATGACAGTTTTCGATCGTGTGTGTCATCTCAACCTTAGAATATCATAACATACCAGTCAAATGTAAAGACAGTTGTCAAAGAGACTCAGGATGTGAGCTTTGGCACCTGAGGGTAGATGTTAGGACCGGCGCAGACTGGGTAAAGCATGAGGCATGGACGACCACATCGCAAAAACAGAAAAATGCATCGTTGGAGCAACGTATTCTATTAAATAAGATAGGCTGACCTGCAATTAAACGTCTCTTTTACAAATGAAAATGTTTTGAATTTGGCTGGGGACGTATCGCTGATATACAACAGAAACAGAGCGGTTCAAATTGAAAAGGTAAAGTCAGTAACAATTTAGGCTGCGCTTAAAATGTTGGCTATGGAGTGGAATAGTGATCAGTGTTTGGAACCTGCTGAGCACTTCCCCTGCTTTTTAAATCCTACCACTTCCTGATGTCCACTGAAAGATCCGATTCTGTGGCGTTCTTCTGGCTTCATCTCACTATATGTAGTCGACCCTAGCGCACCGCCCACAAGCACTGCAAGCGAGCCAGCGCAGCTGTACTTGTATCTAAGAGCCTACTGGTGCCGCCTTACCCACGCTGGGAGCGTTCAAGTGGTCTCTCCTCTTGCTTTCGCTCAGAAATTGCAACAGTATAAAGAAAGCACTCTCCAGTCAAGTGCACTATCGGCACTACGAGTGAGGCATCGATTCCGGGGAGCATGCGGGGGGCTGCCGATGCTGGGGTGGCGGGGGGGGGGGGGGAGAGACGCTAGCCGAGCCGGTCGACCCCGAGCGGCTGGAGACGACGTGCGACCCGACGGGCGGCGCCCTCTCTTGATTGCAGACCTGGCCGGCACGAGAGGCGACCGAAAATGGGGCCCACGGTGGGGACGAGAAACCCGCGCACGAGAAAGCCCAGTAAAGCTCAATGTTTCTTAGCTCATCTTCAACTCAGGTAAGAGCCGTACCCTGTAGTTTGAGAGCGTGGTCGGCGTTTTGCGCCGGACCGTTTGGGGAGCTCAGTGGCGTATCCCAATGCGACCTGTGGGTGGCGGAGGCCCTGGTTCCCATCGGTAGGCTCGCATTCCACGCCGACGCCCCGCGGCTCGCTCTCGGCTTTGGTTCGACTGTTGGGTGCCCGGGGCTCCCTATAATACGCCACGGGGTACGCCGCAGGCCCTTCAGCGAGGCCCCATGCCACCTAATGCGACCCTGTTGCCGCCGTTTTTGCTGGCCAACAGCTTATGCTAAAGCTGGTTTGTTCAACATCGTTTAACAAGAAACGCACTCACAACCATTTGAGAGCGCTATTAAATCCCTTTTAGGTACAACGAACCCGGCTTGATCTAAGTTGCATGCGAATGGTAAACACCGTTAGGCGGGATCTCATACCTGTGCATCAGATGCACCATTTAAAGATGTGTTTTGTTGGCGTTTATAGCTTTGTCTCCCATCCGATGGTCTCCATGCATTGAGGTAGCTTCTGATAGTAGCGTTCTATTGCATATTACTGCCTGCACTTCTTCGGCACTTCCTCTTGTTCATGCACGTTTTCGGTGTCTGTGGAGCATGCCGTAATGTTTGTCGTGTCTTATTTCCTAACACCTTGCTGGTCACCTTCACGGCCAGGGGCTGCACAGTGAACCAGCTGCAAAGGAGCGCGTAGAAACAGCGAAAAAACGGATATGAGAGCCAGCAATTACATTGAAGTTGACGTGAAATGCATACAACACAACAGCCTGCCGTGCACGGTGCTCTTCCCTGGACTATATCCAGCGATGTGGTCCTGGGACAACATTGTGACAAGTGTGAAACTGACATAAAGTATCCTTCATCTGAATATCGCTGAAATGGCATTGAATACTTGGCAAAATGGCACGAGGATATGAGTCCTCGATAAGTAAAATTTGTGGAGAAGCCGCTAATCGAACATCGCAGTAAAGACGCCCCAGTTCAACGGACATAATCTCCTCCAACGGTTCAAACAACTAGTACCGAAGGATATTTAAACCCTTTCTAATTCCACGACACGGCCGGCCCGTGACAACCTGATTCGCTTGCCAAGCGGAACAGCTCTGTAAATCGTTCGCTAGCGACGTGTTGCATACGCGCTACGTCGCTGGTGAGACCCTAAGCATCTTTCACACAGTGGTGAAATGTTCGGTGCGTCACCGAACGAGCTTCAGGTGTTGGTGTGACGGTCGATATAACGCGATTAAACACGAAACCTGTCTGGTAGTTCTTTGCATTTCCGTTCCAAAATTATAGCTGAATGGCTTGCCACGGGATAGTTATATTTGCGACGCATACGCCGCGCTGCGAAGAAATTAAGTATTTCAGTATTGGAGCTGTGTAATAATCTAAGGGCTGCACTCGGGTTAAGTGCTTGCAGGGGTTATTCGCAGGGTATTTTTGTTCTGTTCTGAGTCCGTTCCGTAGGTCGGTCGTTACTCTAATCCTCTGGGTCAAGATCAGTCTGCTCCCCACGCCCTTAACCCCATGCATTGTTAAAACGCCTCTCGTTTCCACCTCGTTCATCATTCACGGCCGCCGGCTATAAAGCGGTTACCCGGAGAGTCTGATTCCAGCCACTTTAAAATAGAATTCTTGTTGCCCGTCGACGCTTGGTATTCATGTGCGCAGGGGTCCGCCGGCTGCAAAAATGCCGTGCTGGGTGCAGTGAAGTAGCCCAGCGAGAAAACCCGACAAATGCCGCTAGGATGTACAGAACATTCATGCTTATTAGTTCGGGGCGCACGCTAGGCGGCTTTGTGCGGTTCTCTCTTGCCGAACAAACTAGCTATAGGTATGCTATTTAGTGGAACCAAACGCGCGACATCTTTGAAGGCATTGTCATCAAGAATCCTCCAGAATTGTGACCTTTTACGTGGACGCGTTTGACGACCTCCGGCTGTCCGTATGGGTGACGTGGCGAGATCAGGTCGGGCTAAGTTAGGTCAGGTCAGGTTAGGTTAGGTTGGGTTAGGTTAGGTTAAGTTGGTCTAGGTTAGGTTAGGTTAGGTTAGGTTAGGTTGGGCTGAACACCGTCCGCTGCATGTGGTTTCCCGCAACCAGATAGCATGTGGGCGATGCGTCCCATCGCAGCCCCGAGTCGCAACCATAGGGCACAGAGAGCACGCAAAATTACGGACAGATTAGACCACTCACACAGGACACAAACCTATTTGCATTGTGGGTCTGGTGCATTTGGAGTTCCAGGGATTGGAGAAATGCCAATGTTTTGAGAACTCTTTGATAAAATTTGACTTCGCTAGTTTGTGTGGATGGAGAAGAACGCATGCACGTACAACTCTGATTGCGAGCAGTGCCAGCTGTCGCGTACTGCTGGGAAGTGCCACCTGTTGCTTGCATACATTTGTGGATGTGCGGCGGGTGGCCTTTCTGATGCCGTCTTCACATGAATGGCTGGGTATAACTCAACGCAGGGTGAGAAATAGTGTCACCCGCTCAAAGTTCGGTCCGGCAGCCAAAACGCATTATCAAAGGCTATATATGGTGTGGTGTGGTTTACCCAACTGGCAGATAATAGGTTTAAAATTAACGATAAATATTCATGAATTTCCACGAGCGGACATGCATTTTATTTACTTAGATATGGGGTATGAAAATATGCTCGATATCTGCGAGCGTTTTAAACTGAACGAGTTCGTTAATGCCACAACCTTTGACACCGGCTTCGCCTTAGCTTTATGACAGACGGCAGCGATCCGAGCCTTTTGATGTAAGACGCTGCGCTATGACCCCACCACTATAATCAACATGCTGCCCGCCTGGCAGGATATTTTGAAGCCGGGGGGCGAGCCGACGCCCCCGTCCGACCCCAGCCAACCCTGGTCCTCCGGCATCGAGCTGCAGACCATGCCCAAGACTCAGCCGCCAGCGTCCGACGCCCCCGCCGAGCCTCACCCGGACCTGCTCAGTCTGGCGAGCAGTGACACCTTTTCTACCTGTCGGACGCACCCGTTCCCGTCCGAGGGCGACCTGACGGCCGGCGCGCCGCCCGAGCGCACAGCCGACAGCGGACAGCCCGAGCGGACAGCGGACGGCGCGACGCCCGGCCCGGCGAACGGCCGGGACTCGGCGGCCTCTCGCCGTGCCGGGCCCCACGAGGTGAGACAGGGCCCAGAGCCGACCCCGCAGCCGGCCGGCCGGTGGTCTGCCTGTGCGGCAGCCGACACGGAGCCCACAGTCAGGCCTGGCCGACTCCGGAAGCCAGGAAGTCGGCAGTGAGGCCTGGTTACTCCGGAAGCCAGGAAGCCGTCAGTGAGGCCTGACTGATTCCGGAAGCTGGGGAGCCGGCAGTCAGGCCTGGTTACTCCGGAAGCCAGGAAGCCGTCAGTGAGGCCTGACTGATTCCGGAAGCTGGGGAGCCGGCAGTCAGGCCTGGTTACTCCGGAAGCCAGGAAGCCGTCAGTGAGGCCTGACTGATTCCGGAAGCTGGGGAGCCGGCAGTCAGGCCTGGTTACTCCGGAAGCCGCAATCCGGCAGTCAGGCTGGCCGACTCCGAGAAATAGGCGGCGGCGCAGATCTGCCAGATCTGGTGGTGGGGGGGGGGGGGGGGGGTGACCCGGCAAACAGGGTGGCGTGGCGTCGCCGAGATGGCCCGTTTTACAGTCAGCTGGGGTCGGAAGTGACGTCACCGGTCGTTAGGCCACTGACAGGCTAGCTTCGCGGACGTGTTGGGGCCGAGCACATGTCTGCCAAGCAAAGCAGAGCACGCTTGGCCAGGAATCTATTTTCTCTGCAAAGGCCTAATTATTGATTCCTGAACGCACATGGGTCGTCAACTATTTGCAGCAGATGCGCTGAATTTATGAATTATCTTGAACTCGCCCAGATCCCTGACCAACAACGACTGTTAAAGCTGAACCGTACGGCCTCGATCCGATCATTAAAATAACAGCTCCGTATGTTGCCATGATTTATAGTCGAATCCTTTTAGCACAAACAAAGAACATTTATTTTCGGTTGATAATAACTTTGGCAGTTTGAATGCCGGTTATTCATCCCGCCTGCATCTTATCAATGCATGTTTACACATTTTTGGCAGTTACGCCGGGAATGACGCAATAACCTTTTCACAATGGATTGATATAATGAAAAGTTTTTGAAGTCATTAAAATATTTCTATGAAATTTTAGTACATACTTAACACTCTGACATGACAGAGATTGTTTTCATGAATTCCATTAACATGCGGTAGGTAAACCCCGTGTACATAACGAACAACAAGTTTGGTGTATCAGATGAGACCCTTTATAAACATTTCCAGTCCATGCCTCTAGTTCACCCTTAATCTAGAAAAATACTAGGCCTGGCAATCAGCAATGTTAATCGGTCGAGGGTGTTGGATGCTGCATTATGATTATTCTCGTCAGTGCTATGTGGAGCGATACGCGCTTGGAGGATCACTTTATTCAAAGAACATTCATCTTAGATCATGTTAAGGAATTTAAGCCCTGTAAGCTCTGTTAGTACTGTAAACAAGCTCTGTAAGTGCTGTGAGTAAGCTTTGTATGTACTGCACGCCTATGAACTCGGACGCTATGATGTAAAAGTGTTTATTTTGTCGCTTCCGTGCCAAAGATGTTGCCGAATGTTTTTTATAGGTTTTGTTAAGTTTCGGGAGAAAGAGGTCTGGCATCCTCCCTGTCTATAAAAGCATAACCTTACTTAAAGCTAGCAAACCGCAATTTGATCAAGCTGTACGTCTTATCAAATATGTTAAATCTCTGCAAAACAATTCTTGCGAAAATCGCTATTAAAAAAGTGTGTGGCTAGAAAAAAATGCTGAATTTCTTTCAAAAGCTTTTAAGTTTTGCACCGTAACTCTTCGTGAAAACGGGTTATGTCCTCACTGCCATTGATAATTCCTATACCTTTTGCAAACCTTATTCGTTGTTTGCATCCACTGTTAACATACCAATGGTGGCTTAGAAAAAGCATGAATTAGATTAAATGAGAAGAGTGAAAACACTGAAGAACTTGGCCGACATTGATCTACGCAACCTCAATTTTCAGCTGCGTCATTTAAAAAGCATCTCATCAGACATTATACACATTATATGTGAGGAGATAATGAAAGTTGCAACTTTCTGAACAGCCCATCTGAAAACGAGCACTACAGCTGTATGAAGCTGCTGCGAACATTCGACTCATCGTTTATGCGCGAACTGTTTAAATGTCCCTTTCCCAGACGGAAATATTTTGGTTTGCATTATATATTAAACCACCGTATCGGTGGATCAGCAGATTGTAGCCACCGAACAAGGCGCGACGGTGCTGTTGGGAAGAAGGCGAGGGCAGAGTGTAGCGGAGCCAATACATTACATGCACCGCACTCTCAATAGCGCTTTCTACGCGGAAACCACGTTCGCAATTGCAATTGGTTGTGTTTGTAATGAGATTGCGCGTATCATTCAAGTATGTTATCATTTACAGTGTCACTGAATTTACAAACCATCCCTGGTTAGCGAGAACCTGAGACCACGGCAGGAAAGCGCACCCAGCGCTGATGACGTTTGTTCCGTGCACATGATCGCCAGCTCCGCCATTTTGGGCTTCATGCATTACGCATACGGGCGAAATTAGGAACGCCATAACCCCCAAGCAGCTTACACTAGGTCAGCACAACAGCTCAATAAAAACATCGTCAGTGTTTGACCCAGCCGGCAAAGCAAATGCCTTTCCGGCGGTCCTCGTGCGAAGGCCGATGCCATCATTGGTATTCATTGGCACAGTTATGGATAGGCCAGTGACAACAGAGCGACAGCAGCGTTCGCCAACGAACAGGGTCAGCCCCGCCAAGGCACTTACCCGCGCGGCGTCACGGCCGGTCCGGACAGACATCGACCGGTCCGGACAGTGTGCCCCTCGACCGTAACAGCCGGCCACTGGCACCGCAGCCGACCCGGACAGACATCAACCGGTCCGGACAGACATCGACCGGTCTGGACAGACATCGACCGGTCCGGACAGACATCGACCGGTCCGGACAGACATCAACCGGTCCGGACAGACATCGACCAGTCCGGACAGACATCGACCGTCCCGGACAGACATCGACCGTCCCGGACAGACATCGACCGTCCCGGACAGACATCGACCGGTCCGGACAGCGTGCCCCTCGACCGTGACAGCCGGCCGCTGGCGCCGCGGCCGACCCCTGTCTGGAGAGGGGCACGGCCCGACAGCCGGGAGCCTGACCCTGCATGGAGAGGGTACAGGCTGAGTAGCCAGGGGACTGGCCTCGCATGGAGAGGGTACAGGCCAGGAGACTGACGCTGTATGGAGGGGGTCCGGGCCGGACAGCCACAGGACCGGCCCTGCCTGGAGAGGGTACAGGCCGGACAGCCACAGGACCGGCCCTGCCTGGAGCGGGTACAGGCCGGACAGCCACAGGACCGGCCCTGCCTGGAGAGGGACACAGACCAGACAGACGGCGGGCGACTGTCACCTGGGGAGAGACAACGGTCGGGAGCGATGAAGGAGCGGACCTTACCTGGAGACCAGTATCGATTGGCAAGCGCTCCTGCGCCTCGCGCAGTCGCCCACCAACCGGTCCCTATCCCCGCACCCATTGCAGTGGGCTACTGAAGCGCATATGACCAACTAAGCCCCAGCGGGCTTCCGTCTCGCACACATATAGTATTATGTACCACGATATTTCACCTTTATGGGAGGCTCTTTCACAGCGAACAATAGGACGCACCATATTTCGCTCAGAAGCTCTTGCGGTATGCTCCTTGCGAGGACGCTCGGGTGTTTTCAGATATCTTTCTTGATGGGCTGCTTTTCGTAGTGTGTCATGGTATGAGAACATCCATGAGGGGCCTTTGACGGTAGTCGGTAAGAGAACGGCAAACGGAACTATAACACAAGCTTGCGATTGTTGCTCTGGTCGTAACAAGTTTGACTGCCTCCCGTTGACGCAGTAAATCGGTTTCTGGGGGATGCGGGTGGTCCTGTTGACACTGCATTGTCCTGATGCTGGTAGCGACATGCGCCTAGTTTCGTCTGGTCTTTTCTTTCTAGCGCAAAGAGCCACTGCAGTTGGCATTCCGTAAGCCCCGTTCACATTAGCTTTTGTTATTATTCCTGTTGTGAGAGCTTTGGCTCTACTGGTCGCGCGATGCTGAAGCCTTCTTAAACTCCAGGTTACGCATACCGCCAGAGCTGATCACGTTTTCTCGAGACGGTCATTCCTGATCAGAATTAGCAGCGGGGGCTCGGCTGCGTATCGAATGCGTATCGCTCGGCGCGTATCTTGACCCGTGACGTGAGTGTCACATGTCGAGCCAGGGGCCGCCGAGCCAGCCTGAGGCCCTCGCTGCACCGCCTGGGGCTGTGCTTCAGGCCTATTGACAGGATGGAATGGGTGTGACCGGTGGCATCAGCAGGGGTGGGGACTGGGCCTGACCGGTCGTATCAACAGGAAAGGTTGGGTGCGATCGGCTATATCGATACGAGCGACTGGATGTGAGAGGTCGTATTGACGGGTGTGACCGGGTGCTGTGACCTGTCGCGTCGGCAGGAAAGACTAGGTGTAACCGGTCGTATTGATGAAGGACTGGGTATGACAAGTGGCATCACTGGGAGGGTGACGTGTCGCTAGCTGCGGCCGGCTGTGTCGACAGGGGCAGGGGGCTAACACTGGGCTAGCCCTGGCTAGGCGTGGTGACGTGCCGGGTCCGACCGGGCGCGGCGCAGCATCAATAATGTAGCGCCGCGCGGCCGGCGGCGGCGGCGGCGGCGGCGGCGTCGAGCCCGTATCGACTCCCACCGACGGTCACGGCAGCCCCTGCCTCTGCCCGCAGCCGGAGCCGACGCGAAGCGAGCCGCCGCCGCCGCCGCCGCCGCCGACGTCGGGCCACCGACGCCGCTGGCCGTCCGGCCTGCCCGCCGCCCGCGAC